CCCACAGCTCTTCGGTCTTCGAGTATGTGTCTAATGCATCAAATCTGTTCTTGAGATGATCTCTAAATTCAGGTGGAATATATTCAAGATCATATTTTGGCTCTTATGGACTTGTTTTAATTTTTTTCCAGATTCAGTTTGAACTTGCATATGGGCAATTAATGGTCTATTCCACAGTCTGAAGAAGTTATTAGAATTTTTCAATTTCATCATCTCTGGCTTTAGTGGTTGGTGCATAAATTTGAATAATAGTCGTATTAACTGGTCTTCCTCGGTGTATGGATATTATCCTATCACAGAGTGTTGTACTTCAAGGTAAAGCTTGAAATGTTCTTTTTGGCAATGAATGTGATGCCTTTTCTCTTCAATTTGTCATTTCTGGCATAGTAAACCATATGGTTGTCTGATTCAAAATGGCCAATAGTTCATTTCAGCTCACTAATACCTTAGATATCTATGCTTATGTGTTCCATTTCATTTTTGACAACTTTCAATTTTTCTAGATTCATATTATGTACATTTCTTGTTCTGATTATGTTATTGGATATTTGCAGATATTTCTCCTCATTTTGAATTGTGTCCCATCAGCAAATAAAGGTCCCGAAAGCTTTACTCCATTGGCGTCAAAATAGTCAACTCTACTTTGAGAAGACAGCTCTTTCCCAGTCGTAGCTTGAGTATCTTCCAAACAGAGAGGATCGTCTTCTGTCACTACTTCTGACAATATTTTGATGTTATTCATGTTTTCATCTTCCAGCACTGTATCGGACAGTCTTCCACTGCTAGTCACAAGGTGTTCAGTGGCTAACCGTTCAAAAGAGTCTGTGTCTCCCTTTTCTTAGTCTGTCTTACTCTGGAAGCTCCGCTGAAACCTGTCCACCATGAATGTTCCTGCTGATGTTTAAAATACTGATGGCATAGTTTTCAGCATCACAACAACACACAAGCCACCATAGTATGGCAAACTGACCGACAGGTGGTGGCCAGAAGGCATAACTTACCAATATAATACTTGAGGATAAGTTTAGCAAGGTAACAGTGAATGAATAAAAGGAAGGTACTGAAAACTATATGTTGTGATTCTTATTTTATAAAATAAGTAAGCATAAAGAGACTGCCAGCCTTGGTGTATGTGTGATATGTATGTATGCATGTATGCATTCATGTGCAAGGGAGCTCCAATACATTTGTGGAAGAATGTGATTGAAAGATAGTGGAATTTTCCCACTAACTTTTTGAAGCCCCCTCATATATGTGCATGATATTTATGTGTACATGTATATGTAAGTGTACATGTATATGTGTGCATACATGTATGTAGGTATAATCTATGTTAGGTTTTGTGAGTTTAGAGATAATTATAGAAGAAACTGTATTACCTTGCTAATGTGACTTTCCTAGAGCATGGAACAGGAGGAAATTAAACAATAATTTTGGAGGAAGCGGTAGAGTCTGGGGTAATAGTTTAACCCTGAGTAAAACAATAGGTATGAGATCTCATTTGTGTAAAATCATATTTGTATGTTGTTGTTTAAACTCCTGGTGTGGCACTGTTGGACCAGCACTGTACTGCGAATCACAAGGTCGGCAGTTCAAACCTACCATCTGCTCCTCAGAAACTCTCTCTATGTTTGTGGGTTGGTATGACTCAAAACTGACTCAGTGGTACTAAACAACAACAATGATATTGTCGTTGGGTGCTATTGAGTCCGTTTTTACTCCTAATGACCCCATGTGACAGAGCAGAACTGCCCGAGAAGGTTTTCTTGGAAGTAGTCTTCATGGGAGCAGATTTCCAGGGCTTTCTGCCACAGAGCTGCTAGGTGGGTTCAAACCACCAACTTTTGGGGGTAACAGCCTAACACTTAACCATTGTGCCACCACACCTTATATATCTAAAAATATTTAATGTAAGTGTCCCATCCAATCCTTCCCTAGATGAGCAAAATAATTTTTTTAAAAAACTTGCAAATTTCAGTCCTTGTGTTAGTGAAGACTGTGAGGTCCTAGTCCTTTGAGTCTTTGTTGTTAGAGACTAGGCTTGTGCTCCCATCCATAGACTCTTGAGTCTATTGTGCATCCTACATCACTTTTTATCATTGAATGCTTTAACATTTGCTTTTAATATTTTTTCTTTAGTTGGAAATCTACATTTCTGAAGGAACCCACTCAACAGAAGAAGACAGTAAGTGAATCCTGAAATGTAACGAAAAGCAACTTCAGATAGTACTTTATGCTGGGTACCAGACCCTTTGGCCAGCCAAGTGATATTTGCAAAAAAAAGTACAAAATCAGTTCTTCATGCTTCTCTCACAGATGAAAAAGCTCCAGCATTTCAAGGGAATTATTGTTTTCAGGATTTCATAGTGGCACTATGTAGTCTAGACTACATACCATACTAGGCTACACATCTGTAATGAATGCCTAGCTTGAGGAAGCTTGCCTTAGGAGCTCTAAAGAGGACTTGATTCTTTTCTTTAGTGACAGAATAGACAGGTGTGTCCTTGAACGTGAGTGAATTTGATGGGTCTTAGAAGGTCTTGCCAGCAAAGTTGTAGAGAATCTTGAGGTAGGTGTTCTCTATCAGGGTCAATGAATCAGATGAGAGTTGGGAACATTTTTCTGTTCTACATCAAGATAAACCAGTTGTTGTTGCTAAGTTCTGTTGAGTCAGCTCCAACTCTTAGTGACTCTGTATAGGGTGTCTGAGGAGTGGGCGGTGGGTTTGAACCCCCGACCTTGTGGTTAGCAGTCTAGTGCTTATCCTGCATTGCCATATCAGATAAACCAGTAGCTACTTAAAAATAGCAGTAGCGTTTGGGAAAAGCAAGATAAAATGTTGTACATGACCTAATTGTTACATGAAAAACAGAGAACGAAAATTTAATTGCAAATGATTTAGAACAAATAATGAGAAATGTATTTGAAATGCATGCTGTGCTTCACTTTCATCACTAGATAAGTTGAGAAATTGGAAAAAGGTAGCAGAGCAGGGGAAGAAAGGCACAGTACTTGAGTTAGAGCAACAGTAAGATTACTGCACAGAGTGAGACAGTGACTCAGAAAGGCACCCACAGGGACAGGGAGAGATGCACAAAAACACATACCCAGGAAAGAGCTTCAGAGAGGGCAACCCACTGCTTTCACAGGAACAGCCTTCAAGGCACTGCCATGAAAACTCTTAAAGCCATGTTCTATTTATATAATTCCAAATGTGTTGACTCTTTTACTCCTCATGGGCTACATTTACTCAAATTCTGTAAACTCATGGCTTCTACTTCTTAATTCAAATAATAAAAAGAATTTATGTCCCTCTAAACTGCAAGTGTCGTCGAGTTGTTTCTGACTCACAGCTGATGGGTTTGAACTGCCAACCTTGAGGTTCAAACTGACATTGCAGTTCAGTACTTTCTCCTGCAGTGCCACACCATTATCTGCACATTATAGCTAGCAGATAATGGATTGAAACTTTTATTATGTGACATTCCATCAGACTGAATTAAAAACAAACAAATGTATTTTAAGAGGAAGTGATGTGAACAGAAGATCCACACCAGAAAAATTAATAAATAAACTTGAGAACATATACTATCTCATTCTTAATTCAGAAAATGCAGATAACAACAATAGTACGATGGACTCACTTTTCACTTTTGTGTGTTTAATAATAATTTCAGGTATTGCTGGCAAAATTGATACACTCATGTGTTGCTGTTGATGTGTAAATTGGTACATAATTTTGGGAAGTAATATAGTGATATAAATCAAACTATAAAAATACAACTCCTTAGAAAACCATTCTAAGATCAAGAGAGAAACATTTGCACAGTGACAAAGTTCAAAAGTCAGGAAGGGATAGATAGAAAAGGAAGCATGGATGGAAACGATGTGGGATGTGTGCTGTTACATTGTGGGGAATGCAGTCAATGTCAAGAGACAAAGTGTATGTGAATTCTTGAAAGGACACCTGATTTGCTTTGTAAACCTGCACCCAAATCACAATAAAAAGTTTTAAAAAAATGCTAATACTTTTAACCTAATAATTCCTCTTTCATAAGTCTTTCCAAAAAGAAAACTGTACTTAAGGTAATTCATTATCGCATAGTCTTAGTATTTAATTTTTAATACTTGTACTTTTTTTATTATTATTATTTTGAATTATGTGATAGTTTACATGGGAGAACATTAGCTTTATATTCATCCTATCGTATATCGTTTCATTGTCATGGTTACAATCCCCTCCATGCACCATCAACCAACCAAAGGGTATATATACCCTGCAAGCCTGCCCCCTGGTTGTCAGCACACAGCCCCTCTCCCTCTATGGGTCTAGAGTCCCCAGCCGCTCCATCTCTCCATGTCATCATTGTCTCTGCCTCCATCTCTGGCATCACTGTTTCTCTGGTAGGGTCAACCAACCAGATCTTCACCCAGGTTCACAGGCATGTATTGAGCATGGTTCGACTTAGCTTGCAGCTTCATTGCTGATTTTCCGTCACTTCCCCTTACCGGTGATGAACGTGGTCACCAGTCAGAGCACGTGTCTGCTCATATATTCCTATTGAGTCTTAGTCTTGGAAGGGGGTTTGCCCTGAGGGGACCCAACCACTTGCCTTGATGTCTCCTAGGTGAGCAACTTGCTTGTTCTTGTAGTAGTCATCCAGACTGCTGTTATTGTTTTGTATTTTTCCTGTCGGTCTTTCTTTCAAGAAGTATCTTCTGTTCTTCTAGCTGCTCTAGGCTGGTCTGCTTATCCTTTCCTGTGGAAACTTCCCACCTCAGAAGATTATGGATGGGGTTCAGGATTCCACCTATGGTCTTATGTAATGCAGAGGCTCCTCAGGAAACCTCCTTCACTGGGTACATTGTAGCCCCATTTTAGGTATTCCAATCAGTTATAGGCAGAAGACGGACTTACAAGCTTTCTATGCTGGTATTTAAGACTATTTCTTTCTCTCTCCCTCAAGTGTCTATTTTATAATGGTATGCAAGGGAAACCAAGATTCAAAAGAGAACCAAGCATCTTATTATTTCCCCCCTTTTGACCATTCCAACCATGTCTCAATCCCAGTATCCCAAAGCCCTGTTGTTCCAAGGTTGTGCATACATCATTATTTACACCTCTGTCCCACTTAGCCCATGCAAACCTGCCTACTTGTTTTCCCATCCGCTTTGTTCTTCCATTTCCCTCCCCCTTCTTGTGTATTACCCCCCTCCCCAGCACCCAAACCATCCTGTATCTATTCCTTACCCTGTGTTCCACCTTCCTCTCTTTCCCCTCACCCTTCACCCTACATCCCGGTAACCAATAAAGAACCTCCCTCCCCTTTAGTGTGGGTTCTTTTTCTTAGTCTCTTATAGTAGTCGTCGTGTTCAGTATTTTTTCCTTTTGTGACTGATTAATTTCACTTAACATACTATCCTCCAGTTTCATCCACGTTATGTGATAGCTTACAGCTTCCTTGTTGTTCTTTGAGGTAGCATAATATTCTATTGTGTGTATGTACCACAGTTTATCTGTTCTTCAGTTGATGGGCTGTCTCCATCTTTAGCTATTGTAAATAGTGCTGCTATGAACATTGGTATGCATATATTTACTCGTGTTATGGCTCATATTTCCTGTGGGTAAATACCAAGTAGAGGAATTGCTGGATCATAAGGTATTTCTATTTCAACCTTCTGAGAAAGCACCGTATTGCTTTCCAGAGAGGTTGGACTATTTTGCAATTCAACCAGCAAAGCAGGAGTGTCCCAGTCTCTCCACATCC